TCAATTTTACCCTAGGCTAGTTTTTAGGTTCCTACAGTATAGTTCTGACAAAAATATCACAAAACTTCTAGCCCTGGCTGGTGTGATTCAGTGGATTGAGTGCTGGCCTCTGAACCAGTGGGTCGCTGGTTCGATTCCCAGTCAGGGCGCATGCCTGGGTTGCAGGTCAGGCCCCCAGTAGAGGGGGTGCGGGAGAGGCAACCACACACTGATGTTTCTCTCCATCTCTCTCTCCTTCCCTTCTCCTCTGTCAAAAAGTAAATAAATAAAATCTTAAAATAAAAAAAAAAGACCCAAACATGCCAGGTTCATAGTGGCCGGAGCCTATCCAGCAGCTCAAGATGCAGGGTAGGACCATCCAGGACAGTCCACCCATCACAGAACCACGAACACCCACACTCACCCAGACTGGGAGGAAGTAGACACGCCAGTTCACCTGGTATGCACATCTTAGGGATGTGGGGAGAAAAAGAAAGACGCAGAGAAAACCCATGCAGACACGGGGAGACCGTGCAAACTCCACACAGACAGTGGCCCTGGCCAGGAATCAATTTTTTTTCTCATCAACATTGTAACTAAACAATACTGAATGAAATGATATTATTCAAGGATCTGCTGAATTATACAGGGGTGGACCAAAGTAGGATTACAGTTATGAGTACATAAAAACAGTTCATTCTTGTAGTAGTATTTATTTATTTTATTAATATTATTTATTATTATTAACCTGCTTTTTCCCCGCCGTGGTATTCCAGCCTGTTGCTTGGAATCTGTTTTCACCGGCCTGATACTTTCACTCTGATTACTTCTCACTAAGTCCTGAAAATCAGGCTTTCAGGATGCTTCTTGATTCAGGCCCCAGTGACTTCTGCCCTGCTAACATCTTCAGTTCTGTGACTTTCCTTAAATGAGGCATCGTCATCTATCTGGGAAATGGGGAGAATATGGTTTTTCTTTGCTTTTCACATAAAATCCAAGTGAAGATGAAAAACAAGGTAAATTTTTAAACTAAACTTTTCTTTAAACTTTGCCCACCAGATTGCTTGTTCTAATCAGGAGAACTTAAAAAGATTTTTTAAAATATATTTTTTATTAATTCAAAGATTAACTGTAAAAAAATACAAAATTATATAAATGTATAACTTATAAAATAAAACTCTGTTGCCATCCAATCTCTAAGGTGCAGTTCCTGTTAACAGTTTAGCATATATTACTCCAACATTTTTCTACATATTAGCACATATTTACACAAATACACATAAATCATATTATGCTGTTTTATAAATTTATTTTTTAACTTACATATCATAGACATCTTTCCTTGTTCTTACAAAGCTTATCCTTGTGAATAACTGCTTGGCATCGATTTTTTATAAGTAGAATCTGATTTGTTGAACTGACCTACTTGAGTGGAACTTTTGAGCCAGATCTGAATATTGGTCTAGTCACTAAGTTTCTCTGGACTTGTTCTGGAATGATTTTATCTGGAGGTACAGAGGTGGTTACTCATGAATATAACTTTTTAAACAGTTGACAGTGTGCCTTTAAACTCTTGGAACTGTTAGTTTTCCATCTTTGCTACAAATCATTTATTTTTAATTACATGTGGTAGATTGACAGGAGGAGAAACTCTTTGTTCCTTAAGCCTAGTTAAATATTTAGTTTTGTCTGCTTAGGAGGTTTTTCTGATCAAGAGAAAATAAAGAAACCAATGCAAACTAGTTTTCAGTTTACAGCTATATCAGTGCTAACCTAAAAATGAAAGGCCAAAGTAAGAGGCAACAAGCGTTTATTTGAGATCAAAAAATAATACCTACTTGGGAAGTACTGATTCAGGCAGAAATCCAGACAGTGTTCTGATTAGGAGAAAATGGCAAGGGGTATGAGAAGGGGAAGAGGAACAATTACATTAATAGAAGGAAGACATTTCTGTTGGTGCAGATAAACCAACATAGTGATGTTACTGCTAAAGAATGTTTTTAATTTTCAGTCCGGTAGTCATATGTCTGCTTTCTTCTTATCTTTGCTAAGAGTTCTTTGAGGCACAGTATTGCTTTAGGCCCAGTCCAAAGGTTATTTTTCCTGTTTTAACATCCCAAAGATTTTTTTTAATTATAATTTACTGTTTATGCTATTACAGGTGTCCTAATTTTTCCCCCTTTGCCCCTCTCCCACTAACCCCCAAGACCCCAAAGGGCTGAGGCCGATGTTCCTCCGGCATGGCAGCTCAGGCTCCATTTTAAAGTGAGTGTGTTCATTTATTTACTTTTTTTTTTTACATAAGCATCTGAGAAACTTGGACTTGTTGTTTTTGCTTTTCAGTTTTGCTCTTTCTTGGGCCAAAGTAATTGAAAGGCTCAAATGAAGGTCCCTCAGGCCGGCAATCTTTCTTGATCAACATGGTTAACATAGAATGTATATGACACATAAGTGATGATGCAGACGCGTCACTAGTTCTAAACGGAGTTCTCCAGGTCTTACCATATCACTCTTTCAACTGCTCATATTTGAGGTCAGAAAATATAAATAGATATAAATGACAGTCACCAAAGTAGAGTGGGGAAAACACGGGCTCTGCCTCAGACAGAACTTCGTCAAATCCCACTTTTGACATTTCCCAGCTATGTGGGCATGTTGCAGACTCTCATGTGAAAAATAAGAGAGATGAGGATTATAAAGTACATAACAAGTATATAATATAGTAACTGGCATAGAAAGCCTTGACTGTAGTTCTTTCTCCTACGTTTGTTGGCTTTTAGAGGTGCCTAGTTTTTTAAACTACCCAAGCAGCAACAGTTTTATCAGGAATGGCTCATTCTCCTTCTTGCTTCTGTAAATATTTGGTCATTCATTTACTCATTCACTCAACAATCATGTATTGACCAATAACTATATCAGGCATTGTGCTGGGTACAGGGGCACAGGGATGAAGAAAACACCTAATTCCTGCCCTCCATGGGCTGTCCTGGAATTTGACATCTGTTTTCTTCCTGAGAAAAAGAGAGAGAAAGCAAATGTGGCAAAATGTTAATAATTGGTGAATATAGGGGATGATATACAGATATTAATTGTATTTTCTGTGAGTTTAACATTTTTTAAAATACAGAGTAGGGGAGAAAATGTATTTCTGTTACTTGGCAGCTATAACTCTTGAAAGCCATTATTCCCAGCTTTTCAGTGTGGAATCGGTCATATTATCTCCAGTCACCCAGCCAGGTCTTAGGCAAGCAGTGCAAGTGCAATGTGCTGGGGATGGTAGAAAACAATGAGAAAGGCCTGGAAAAGTAACAGGCATGGTTACCTGAAGCCACATAGCAGCAGCCCTGGGCAACCAGGCACCCAAAGAATGAGAGAGCTCAACAGGAAGCAGAGGTGGAAAGCACGGGAAGGGCTCCCTGCTTGAATCCTGCCCGAATCGCTACCTGGTCTCCTGTACACGCCCCAATCAGAGATCAAACCTGCAACTTGCAGTGTATGGGATGACACCCCAACCAACTGATCCACGCTGGCCAGGCCCTGAGGTTGCTTATATGTAAGTTCTTGATAGAATTTCAATAGGTTTTGTGAAGCTTATGAAGTGATGTGTTATAGCAGTTGGCATGGGGCCTGTGCCTGGTACCTACTTAATACGGTGCAACAACATATATGTAACTTTAGCCAATGGCACTATTATTAGTCTACCCATTTCATGCAGAAATCTCTGCTCGATGCCTCTTTGCTTCACCTATCTGTACATCTAGTTTGTCAGCATGTCCTTCCTACGTCCAAATACATGCCCTAAATCAGACCACCTCTGCTCTCTCCAAGGTTACACCTCCATCTCTTACCCAGTCCCCCACGGCAGCCACTCAACTGCTCTTCCTGCCTCCATTCTGGTCCCCTCACCCCCAGAATGTTCTCCACAGCAAACATTTTTAAGCTTAATGGAGAGTGTCATTCTCCCGCTTAATTCTCCTACGGCCTTCCATCACTCTTGGGTAAAAACTTCACTCCTGACCTTCACCTCATGACCTGGGTCCTGCCCAGCTCTCCGACCTTGTTTCCTAGCCTCTGCCCGTGGCTTACTGTACTCAAGCATACTGGCTGTCTTTCTGTCCCACAAGCATAGCAATGCTCGCTCTTACCTCACAGTCTTTGTGGTTGTTCCCTCTGCCTGAAATGTGCTTCCCCCAGGTCTTTACCTGGCTGCTGCTTCTTCTTCCCTGTCCTTTAGGTCTCACTGCAAAAGTCATTTGCTGAGCAAGAACGTCCATGACAATTCTACGTAATGGTTTTATGACTTCCACCCCCACTGGTCACCAGTGCCCTGTTTTATTATCTTTACAGCACTTGTCACTATCTAAGATGATCATGTTGGTTACTTTAGCCATTGTGTGTCTCTTTTACAGAATGAAAGCTCCAGGGAACAGTGAACAGTAACTGTGTGTCTTGTTCACTGTCTGTCAGCTCAGGCTGCCATACAAAATACCACAAACTGGGGGGGCATAGCCTCAGAACTTTATTTCCTCACAGTTCTGGAGAATGGGAAGTCCAAGATCAAGGTGCTGGCAGGGTTTGCTTTCTGGTGAGAGCTCTCTTCCTGACTTATAGGCAGCTGCCTTTTTGCTGTGTTTTCACATGGGTCTTTCCTCCATGTGTGCCCCTGGAGAGAGAGGGAATGCACTCTCTTGTGCCTCCTCTTATAAAGACCTTAATCCTATTGGATCAGGGCCATACCCTGATGACCTCATTTAACCTTAATGCCTTCTAGGCCCCAACTCCAAGTACAACCAAACTGACAGTTAGCATTTCGATGTAGAAATTTGAGGGGCAGGATATAAACATTCATTCCATAACATTTACCAATGTTGCAGTAGCACCAGAACCTAGAAGTGGGCCCAGCATGTAATAGGTATTCAATAAATATTTTAAATATTTGCTAAATAAATCGATGAATCACAGAAGTTCACACCACTGTAAGTTCCTGTGAGTTGCCCCACATCTAGTGCTCCATCCTGCAGGTCAGGGCGTGTCACTGTACATCCCCCAGTCCACCATCAATGCCACGGTGAAAGAAGACATCCTGCTGTCGGTGGAATACTCCTGCCATGGTGTCCCCACCATTGAATGGAAGTATACGTCCAACTGGGGAGTGCAGAAGATTGTGGAGTGGAAGCCAGGCACTCAGGCCAACATCTCCCAAAGCCACAAGGACAGGGTCTGCACCTTTGACAATGGCTCCATCCAGCTCTTCAGTGTGGGCGTGAGGGATTCCGGCTACTATATCATCACGGTGACTGAGCGCCTGGGGAGCAGCCAGTTTGGCACCATCGTGCTGCATGTGTCGGGTAAGATGGGCCCTGGTGTCCTCTGACTGCAAGTGTGTGGGAGACTGACTCCATGACACTAAAAGAGACTTATCTTCCCCTTCCCTGCCCCCTATGCCATAGAGATCCTCTATGAAGACCTCCACTTCGTCGCTGTTTTCCTTGCTTTACTTGCTGCTGTGGCTGCCGTGTTAATTAGCCTCATGTGGGTTTGTAATAAGTGTGCATATAAATTCCAGAGGACAAGAAGACGCAAGCTCAAAGGTAATTCCCTGCGCCTTGTGATAATTAATTCATGCTTTGATGGCCAGAGGTGGCCCATGTTATCTTATCTCACCATAAACACAAGTTTATGGCTGACTTGCAACTCGTTGACTTGTCTTTTGCTTTGCAGAGAGCACAGCTGAGGAGATTGAGCTACAAGATGTTGAGTGTTAGCCAAAGCTGAGCCCCAATTAACATTCCTACCTCGAGAGGAAAAACATTCTTTTCCGATGAAAGGAGCAAACATAACGACCCACTCTTAGGGCCTCCTATTGTCCGGCCACAGCTGCCCACTCAGGATGGGACTGCCAGATGTAAACAAAGATGACTGCATGGAGCTGAGGACTCTGGATTGGACAAAGTCAGTTCTCGTACTTGCACAAAGTTCAAGGAGAATAGTGCTTTGCGTGGCTGCAGCGTCGGAGCCATGCTAACCTGTAACTAATGGCGTAGTGCAAACACTGGCTGCTTGCTCACCATGGTCTGCTCGGGCCCAGGGGATGGCCACAGGAGGCATCCCCATGTCAGAGGCCAGAGTACTCCAGATCAGGTGTGCAGCTGGCATTGGCACAAGCTGTCCGTGCTGCTATCTGCTTGGCCGTGCCCTCCAACCCTCTGCTGTGGGAGCTGTTGTGAGAAAACATGAGGCATTTAGACAACCTGCTGCCTCAGACAGAGGTAGGAAGAGACTGAGGGGTGCTGCTGGGCTATCGCGGGTTGCTCAGAGAAGGGTGAGAGCCTCTCATGGCCTGGAACTTTAGGGAGAAGGGCTTAATTTGTTCTTGAGGGACCAGCATTGGGAACAAGGGAAAGGGAAAAAATTATCTTTCTCTTCCTCTCATAGTCCAACTTGAATTGAATTTTCCTTCCTATGGCCCCAACGAGGCTAGTTTGAAGAGAACAGGTCTCCTTCACTGTGGGCAGCATCTGGCCTTCAGAGGGTCTCCTAACAAGCTCCGTGAAGGCTGAGCCTGCATAATAGGCGGTACAACTGGGGGACCAGTCAGCCCAGCCTTCTAATGTGTCCTGCTAAATCACTAACATGTCATGTCTCAAGTCAGGCCCTCGCTTTCTCCCAGATGGGCAAAGGAACACTTGCAGCTCACCTACCTCACAGTCAAGTTATCAAATAAAGCCTACAGTATGCATAGAGCTCTCTAAGCAATTTAAGACAGGCATGAGGATTCTTCAGTGATGTGAAAGCAATCAGTGCTATACTGACTATGGAAAATTGATAAAATGCCCTGGAGTGTTGGGCTCCAGGTGAAATTGTGGGCTGGCTTGCAGCCGGCCTTGGCCCTTACTCTCTCAGGTGTTTACCTCAAAGTTCTCCATCCCAACTTCCATCTGGCAAGCTCTAGAGCAGGCCTGCATTTATTTTCCATTATCTTTTCTCTTTCCAATATTCTTAGCTACAGATTGAAGTTACCACCCCAATTATTGGTGGAGGCTGAGGTTAGTAACTGTGTCCACAACCCTCAGCTGCAAATTCACCCATACAAAAGAGGAGACCTGGAACATTCCCTTCTCCCTTCCCCCTCTTTATGTCCCCAACATCCACATCTCTTTTGCTTCCTATGTGGTAGAAGAAGGAGCTGCCTGGAGAAGATGGTATGTGGTCTTTCCTTGAGTGATGGAACTAGAACGGCAGGAAGAGATCTTTCAGAGTATTCATAAAGGAACGATCCATGAGGTACAGCAGAGCTTCGAAGGCACTACCTGACTCAAAAGGCAAGAGAGTAACGGGTCTGCACAACGGCTTTGCAGCTCTAGTTCCTGACACTGGAGTTCTCACCTGAGGCTGCCTCCTGTGCGCACACACATGTGCCAACATGCACACCAGTGCCCTTTTCCCAAGCAGCAAAGGAGCCGACCTGTGCCAGGCCAGGTTCCCTGTACCGGTGGGTCTCCAGTGCCCTGGAAAAGCTGTGTGAGGAGAGCCAGAGAGAACAGAGCATCTAGAATAACTTGCTTATATGTTTCTCCTTTCATACACAAAGCCCATCAGCAGGAAACCAGTCTGGATCTGGTAGCTGCTGGAGTCTGTGTGTCCTCTTTTACTACCTGCTTTTCAGAACTCTACTTCTCAGCTTGTCAGAAGACGGGGGAGGGGGAGGGGGACGTTGTCACAATAAAAGAACAAATGGAAAATACCAAGTGAGAGGCCTCCATAGGCAAACCCAGGTTTATACCCCAAATTGCCCCCCAAATATGTCATGAAAGGCTATACCCTAAGCCTTCTATTATTTTGTGCTTTTAAACCTCCCTTCACCCCTATGAACCTTCCCTTGGAACAGTTTTGATTCTAGAGCCTGAGGTTTTTGTCTGTTTTTCAAAAAGGAAAATATAACATCATAGAGGTTAGCCACTATAAATGTTAAGCTATAAATTATTACGTTTCAAACTGTGAACACTGTTTTAAAGAATGAAATAAAACCTGAAAATAAAGCCCTAGTCCTTTGTGAGTGAGCCGCCCCCTGTGGGGGACTCGGAGGCACTGGGCCAGGGTTCCATCAGCTGCCCGCGGAAGCAAAACTCTAAGCCACATTCATGACTCTGGCACATTTTAAAAATAACAATAGAATGAATCACATTGGTTCTGACAATAAACATTCTTTAGCAATTCAGAAAAACAACACTTTATTATCACCACCATTCTCCTTTCTGTTGCAGCCAGACGATGAATATGAAGATTTTGCTTCTAGAATACGAATCGTAACTCCATACAGTCTTTTCTGCTCCTGGAAAGGACTGAAATGGATGTGACAATTGCACCACCTCGTTCAACGGTGCATAGGACATTCAACAGAACATACATGCTTTGTCAACAGAATGTCCTTCGGGAGACTGCGATCTAAGAAACCAAAAAGTTACCATTAAAGAACAAAATTTTACTGAGTAAATTTGAAGATGTAACAGGCTTTATTAAGCAATTCATGACTCAGCATCTCATCTAGCAACTAGAAGGGCACTCAGAGGGGTAGCACAAAATGGAAGGCTTTTATAGGCAAAAAGAGAGCAAGTTGAGACTGGGTTATTGCAGGCAAGGTTGCCTTTCCTAGGGGAAGGAAGGGGTTTTATCAGGCAGATTTCCCACAAGTGATGACCAGGAAATTCCACACTGATATGTTTAGAAGTCCATTCTGAGATGAGGCTGAAACTGCAGTTAGGTTAGGTATTGAGTCTTGGTGGACTTAGTCAAAGTGGCTCCATTTTGGGTCTGTTCTTTCTTTTTAATACTATACAGTTGATTCTTGAACAGCATGGGTTTACAACCTGCGTGTAAGTGGCCCCGTGCAGTTCAAACTCATGATGTTCAAGGGTCAACTGTATTTTTTTCATTCACAGTCGGGAATCCACGCAGGTGGAGGGCCGATTGTAGTTACACTTGAATGTTTGACAGTGTGGCAGTTTGACACTCTTAAGCCCAGCGCTGTTCAAGGGTCAACTGTATCATTATTATTTCTCATTCCAGAGTGTTCTGGGTAGGCAAGGAGAGCTGAAACAGAAAACCACTGTCCTTTGAAGCCCACCTGAGATGGTTAATACCTAACAGTGCGCCACGCTCACTCTGATTTGAAATCATACCACACAAAAGTGAGGAGCAAAGGCAGTGAGAGATAAGAAACATTATCCGCCTATCTTGTTCAGTGTGGGAATGCAGAGACAGGCCCCAAGCCCCGAGTAAGGAGGCAGTTCGGAAGGGGTGGGTAACTGTAACATTGGGGGAGGAGTGGCAGAAGAGAATTCTAGGAGATGTGACCAGGCCAAGGAAACAAAGGTGATGGAGCGAAACCCTAAGGCTGTGACTCAAATGCAGCCTCCTTGACAACACTTTGGAAACCCTCTTTTTGTCATTAGCTTTCATATATCCAGCACAGTTGTCTTCTGCCCAGTTTCCAGGGAGACATCAGACATATCTATAGGTGACTGAAAACAGCAAATCCCTGTGGTTATTGTTAGCATATCTATCCACAGCTCAACTTCTATTAAAGAATGGAGAGTTGCCAATACGTGTACCTCTCTGCATACCCAAACACGTCCTACTGTGAGCTTTTCCAATCCTCGAGAATAAGGGGGCTGAGTTCACTATCTCCTGAGTGGGCCCTGAGTGGACAAACCATGTAGTGTGTGGGTTGTTGACTTGGTGTAGGAAAGATTTCACAACAGGTCTAGGTGACTATGAGGATTCATTGATTAAAGCTGGGGACCGTGAAACAAGGAAGGGCTTCACATGGAAGCAGCAACAGGAGAGCCTGGCTGGGCTGCCTTAGCTCACTGGGAAGTCAAGGGAAAAAGGGGGCCTTGGGGACAGGTTCAGGGAGTTAACCTGGGACAAGCTGCCAGCTGCCCATTGCCTTAGAGTTTAGGAGACACGTACCTGTGGGGAAGGAAGTTGGGGAGGAAGAAGGAAAGTGCATGCTGGGTTCTTTGTCTTGGGGCTCTTCTCATTCTCTTTCTGGAGGTGGGTGGGTAGGGCCTCAGGGGAGGTCTAAGGGGAGGGTTTCAGTAGAATATTCATCAGTTCTGCACAGGTGGCCTTTCAGGTCATGGTCTCTACTGATGGGTGAGTGGCAGGGCAGATGTCTTTAGTCATCAAAGTTGATTCTGGCATTGCCCACCTGGTTTTGCTGCTTTTCTGGACCTGGAGCTAAACTACAACTGAGGCCTGCATGTTGTCTCCAGAGAGGAAAGGCCGGGGAGGAGAGGCTGCCCTGTGTGTGAGGTCCTTGTTTCCCGGTTTTGCCCCCTGCCAGGCACTCAGAGCTGTCCGCCCTGGAGACCTTCTGCCCCTGGCTGTAAATTGCTTGGCCAGTTTGGTCAGTTATCTGTCTCAGTTTCCCTATTCCACTAGCGAAGGAATTTTCCTAGCTTTCTGCTATCCTGTCTCATTTCCACTGCCTTTTAAAAATTAAAGTTTTGAGCTTTGTTTAATTACAAAGGCGATAAAACATTCTTTAAAATTAAAATGATACTGAAGTCTATATATAAAGTAAAAAGAAAAAGTTCTCCATCCTTCAATCTTACCCAAAGGAAACAATAGTTAAATCTGGTGTGTATCCTTCTAGACTTGCTTATGCCTATATGAACATATCTATATATACATGTACTACTATATATATAATTTAACCTGCTTTCCTGTTAGACAAAGGGAAATCTATTATATATATTAT